GAAACCTCGGGGTGTCGCTTCCGATTGTACATCCTGGAACCAGTTTCATTCAGAAAAATCCAAATCCTTTTAATGAGTTTCTAAAGGAAGAGTCGTGGCTCCACCTTCACTGCCTCAGACTTTCACCCTTCCTAGCCACCGCCCATACCACATGTTGAATCCTTCAGCTGCCATGTTCTTTTAATCTTCGTTCCACTGCAACCCACTCAGGGTTTTTCTTCACTCAGTGCACAGTCAACCTGTGGAACTCCTTGCTGGAGGATGCGGTGAAGGCTAGAACTTTAATAGGGTTCAAAAAAGAGCTAGATAGAGTCATGGAGGTTAGGTCCATCAATGGCTATTGGCCAGGAGGGGTAGGAGTAGTGTCCCTAGCCTCTGTTTCTCTGGAAGTGAGTGACGGGAAAATATGCAAATGAAGCATGCAAACATGCTAATCAGTGCTTCATTTGCATTTCCTTGTTCCTTATTTGCATTTCCTCTTTCGGAAGAGGAAAGCAGCCTAATTGGCTGGTGCCATTCCTTGGTAGACGGAGGGCTACTTGTTAACTAAGAGTGAGCGCCCAAGCAGGTGACAACATTCCCCTGCAGGTTTCTGTGTGTGACCGTTTCTAGGACTAGAGTCATTCACACAATGCATGTCCCTGGCCCAGTGATGGCTTAACAAGAGAGCGTGAGCAAGCCCCCATCAGGCTGCCCCAGGCCCCTGAGCGGTGAGAGACCTGTGTTCAAATTCTCTCTCTCCCTCGCTTGAAGGGAATTGAACCTCTCTCTCGTCTCCCCCCCTGCAGGTTTCTGTGTGTGACCGTTTCTAGGACTAGAGTCATTCACACAATGCATGTCCCTGGCCCAGTGATGGCTTAACAAGAGAGCGTGAGCAAGCCCCCATCAGGCTGCCCCAGGCCCCTGAGCGGTGAGAGACCTGTGTTCAAATTCTCTCTCTCCCTCGCTTGAAGGGAATTGAACCTCTCTCTCGTCTCCCGGGGAGCATCCTCTAGGGCAAGGAACCTACGGCCCAGCCCCCGGTTTGCCTGGATTTGGCCCACTGAAGCTTGGGGCTCCTGCCAAACATTGGGGACCCCTCGCTGGGGCTCCAGACTCCCTGCCATTTTGTGGGCTGGAGCGCACAAAATCTACGATGGTCTGGTGTGGGAGGGGCATGTGGGGAGCGTCTTTCTCCCCCTCGGCGGGGGG